TCTGACAGCCGAGGACAGGGGTTTCCTTGTTCAATACAAGATGACACAGCGTTGATCCACCGATCGGGGTTGTGCTTTTGTGATTTGGCATTATTGAACCCTTCAAAGCACAGTACCAGGGTTTCAAGACCAATAGCTGAATATTCGCTTAGACGCTTGTTGACCAGATTGCCCTGGTTGACCCGGCGACCCCCTCTGGAAGTCTTCTGTAAGACGTATGGGACAAAACAGTGGAGTCTAACCCATTGAGCCGGGTCACCAGGGTCATCACAAACAGCCGTCAGTAAGGCGTTCAGATCATGTGCGAACTTCTCCCTGCATGGCTTAGGGATATGGTCGTACACCGGTACACATTTCAGCACGGCCGTCAGCTTGTCAAAAACACCAGAGTAATCCAGGCCGAGAGAATCACCGGAGACCGATGCGGCCGACGACCGTGTGGGCAACCCAGGCTTGGGGTCGGGTGCGGCACCGAGAGGCGAAGCAGCCCTCGCGCCAACTTTTTTCCGGGACCCCGAGCATTCCTGTCCTTTCACTTTACCTCCGTGCCGACATAATTTCCCGTCTGGAGTGCTTCTATAGTGGTTAAAGCAGACGGGGCACTGTTGTAACGTTGGAGCCATTTGTGATTAAAAACAACCAAGAAACGAGGGAAAGGAAACAAACCAAGTGGGGTGGATGGATGAATGAATGGATGAACAAGCGAATGACCAAAGGAACGGGCCAGCGAACAAACGAATGAATGAGTGAATGATGGGGGAATGAATGAGCTAATTACTGAACGGACGAGTGAGGGAAAAAAAAGAATGAATGTATGTATGTATGTATATGACTTTGTCCGTTCCGCGGGGAAGTCTGCTATGCGAAAAGTCCGTTCTGCGAAACACGAATACCCATAGACTTTTATGTAAATCAAAATAATTGGTTCCGCACCGAACTAAAAAATCGATAAAAATCTAAATAAAATTAGAAAAACATGTGGAGTTCAGTGAACCCAATCAGTTTTTTTTCCACTTCTCAGAAACACTTAGCAACAAGTAGAAAAGCAGTAAAAAGTGCAAAAACTAAGAAAAAGTCCATTCGAGACACTTTGCTTTAACTTTGTTAAAAAAAAGTATAAGTTTTCTTTTTGAATTTTTTCGTTCGATTTTGCTCAACTGCTCTTAAAAAATTGATGCTTTTGAAAGAAAATGAAAAAAATTCGCTTCATTTTTCTTTGAAAAAAAATTTATTTTTGCGTTTTCATTTGTAGCTCGCGCTCTCTCGGAGTCAGCAATGGACTGAAAGGGCCTGTGGCGGACAGGAACACTTTTCTGACACCCAAAAAACCCAGACTGGTGTCCTTCCGTCGTTTTTTTTGCTTCTCTTCTTTCGGCTTGCTCTTTTTGGCCAGGATCGAAGAACCTTTTCAAAGTCACCTACTTCTCCCTTGTCTTCAAAGCGTCGAGGTAGAATTTGAAATGGTCGTTGAACAAGTTGCCGAGGCGGTTGGATTCTGCTTTATCCGGGTTCGTTTTGTTCACCCAGTCCCAAAAGCCGTGTCTGTGGTTCAAAAAAAGTCCGTTGTGCGGACCGCGATTTCGGAGGAAATCGAGGTCCGTTCTGCCAAAAATCAGTTGTGCTAGTGGTCCGTTCTGCGGGGACCCACTGTATGCATGTATTTCACTTTTGTCAGCTTTCTCAAAAATAATAGAAAAAATAATTTTTAAAAAATTATATCATTTTGCGAAAATATAATGTTTTTTCAAGTCATCAGTTAGGTTTTCTCAAGAATACTCAACCGAACTAGTCATTGTAAAACTAATAAGAAAAATCGGAATACTCATCAAAAAAACATTTTGTTGTTGGAAATTGTCTTGATTTCTCCAAGGCATTCGATTGCATTAATCATTTAATTTTATTAGGCAAGCTGGAACACTATGACATAAAAGATATAATCTTGAAATGGTTCCAAAGCTACTTGTCAGAAAGAAAGCAAGTTGTTTGCAGGAAAAACAAGCATTCATCATTGCAGCCAAATGAAGTTGGCGTCTCAAAAGAAAGCTTTTTTTTTATTTATTATTATTTATTTTGTTCATTAACGACCTCCAAAATACAACAAACTAATTTGATGTTTGCTTCGCAGATGATACTAATATTTTCGGCAGTGGAAAAAATGTCGACAAAACAATAGCAGCAACAGCAACAGATTAACAATGAACAATTCAAAAACTCAAATGGTTGTATTTGGACCAACACTATATTTGAATTCTAAAGAACCATACAAATTCAAAATTAATAATATCGAAATTACTGAAATTAAAACAGTAAAGTTTTGGGTGGATTCCTAGATCAGAAATTTGCGATGCAGTATAAGTTAAATTTATAAAAATTTAAATTTTAATAAACTGAACTTTTACTGCATCGTCGTTTTTCTGTATATGCAGCTGTCTAATAAGCATCCTCTAGAACGAATATTCTTTTTTCACATGTTATTTGTATGGAACTATATAATAAAAAATGACTTTTATAATGAAAACATACATATAAATTTTTAAAAGAAGTTAAAAATGTTTCTATTGAATAATATTAAATTTGTAACGAACTGTTTGTAAACTTAAAATATTACTGTTGATTCTGTTTAGGTGGTCATACTCGATAAATTTATTTATAAATTCTGTTATGGTCATCCAGTTTTCCTATCATTAAATTTTTTTTGTTCAGAAGCAAATAAAATTTTGTTTCTTTTCGTATGTACGTACGTACGTATGTATGTATGTATGAATGTATGTAATATTATTATTATTATTATTATTAAGAACAATATATATAGCACCCATTCAATGTTCTCACAGGAGCTCTCAAAAAATAAAACTTAATTATATATGTGGCAAACAAAATAGGTACAAAATCAAATTCAATGCAACTTCAACGAAAATAAAAATGTCTTCAAATTCTTTTTAAATGATTGAAGATGAAGTCCAGGTTTTCTCAGTGATGTAGGGAGACTGTTCCATACAGTGGGACCGGCAATTGCAATATCACGTGATCCAATCTGTAACCTTGCCACTGGCACCCTTAAGAAATTCACGTTACGTCCTCTTATCAATCGTCAACCAGCGCAAATCATTCAAAATTGGCGTAACGTGGCCAAACTTCAATTTACCAGCAACCAACTTTGCAGCTCTATTTTGAACCGATTGCAGGATAGCAATAGATTTATCAGGCTATTTATACAAAAATGCTGTTGCAGTAATCTAAACGAGATGTAACAAACGCATGCACCAAAGTTTCCAAGGTTGATCTGTCCAACCAGTGCCTAATTCTATATAAATTCCGGAAACAAGAGATGCATGAAACTGATATCATCTTTATATGATCCTTCATCAATAATCTACTATCAAGCAAAACTCCCAAATTGGTAGCAGCATTAATAAACGGTATGTTAACATCATTTACTGTGATGGAATTTAAATTTAATTTTACCAACTGCTGCCATTTGCCAACTGGAAGCAGCTGAGTCTTACATTGATGAAGTCTCAGCCTTGAAAAAACCAGGATGACAAGTCACCAATATTTGAATGTCATCCGCAAATGCATGAGAATTGATATGTATGTATGTAGGGGAGAGTGGGGATGCTTGAGACACTTTCCGTCCAAACATAAACAAAATGTAATGCCCTTCATCATTAAACACTTTTTTTAGCATTTCAGTTAGAGCTGGGTCTACTGAATAAGATTTTATAACCTCATGCAACATTCTAGACGACAGTTTCAAAAGTTTTACAGGTACCTAAATGTCTCAACCATCCCTGCTACTGTACTGGTTGAGACAGCAGGAGTCATGCTTGAGACACCATTTAACTCATTGATATTTCAAAAGTTAATATCCCTTGCTTTTGTTTTATGGCTTGCAGAAGTTATCAGCAAGAAAACATTATTTTATGACATATTATTTAGAAAATATTATAGGATAAATTGTTATTAAATTTCACCAAAATCAAATAAAATTAATTTGAAAAAAATAAAGTATCGACAAAATATTCATTTCAAATTGCACTTTTCACAAACAAAATTTTGTTCTGTCTTTGAAATACCAGCACAAGCAGTATGTGCCCATTCTTTACATTTTCCCTGGCATTTAATCCAGCTTTCACCATTTGTAGAAGAAGACCATGAAGAGCAACAATAAAGACGCAGAGCATCATCATCATCACCATTATTTTTGTTGCCAGAATTGCTTGAAAATTTCAATCGCCTGTGACTTTTCTTTTCACATTTTACTTTTTTTTCTGTTTTTAGTCTTCTTTTTTCTTGTCTTTGAGAAATTTCATTTTTAATTGGAGTATATGTTAAAATCCTCGTTTTACCTAGCCTGGGGTGTTTACCTTTCAGTTTCCTAGGTGGAGCAACTGGAAATGGCCTGATGTCTTCAGGTTTAAATATTGTAGAACATTTTTGCAAGTTTCAATAGTGTTATTCAATTGGGGATTTGATGATTCACTTGGTTTGTAGGCACTATCCTGCTGTGAAAAAACTTGATCTGTAGACTCTAAATTATTCAAACTGTTAGGATTCACAGCTTCACAATCTGTCAATGTTTCATCTGATGCACCATTGAATCTATCAGTTACTTTGGATGGTAGAAAATCTTCTTCAGCAAAAATATCTGAATTATGTGGCCAAATGTCAGTAACTTTGAATCCGGAAGTGATGTTTTCAATAGTCATTGCACTAAATAATAAATAAATAATTTATGTTTTATTCAATTAATTTATCAGATAAATTAATACAAATCAACCTAAATTTATATATACTGATTATATAACTAAAAGGTAAAGAGTTATAAAGAACACATAATAATTAATTATTCAGGGTTGATTGAGATGTCTCATTCAACCCTTTAAATGATTGTCTCAACCATCCCCAACTGAGGTTTAGGTTATAAAAGTTCTATTAACTTTTTAATTGTCATTGTTTAAGTGACAATATTATACAAGAAGAATCGCTAAATAAACAATAAAATTAATAATAGCAAACTGGGCAAAACTTTACATTAGTGCCTCAATGCAAACAAAAAATCGAGACAGTGATGTAAATGGAGGGTATTGAATACTAGGTGTAAAAGTAAATTTATGTTAATAACGCTAACGGCTAAATAAATGAATTAGAGTGAATTTATATTAATAACGCTAAATAAACAAATTGTTCTTTATGTTTAACTTTTTTTTATTAATTATTGTTTTAGATAAATATATAAACTAAATTAGAATTTTTTATTTCAAAAATGTAATGTTAGGACATAACTTTTCAAAATTGATTGGCTTATTTAAAATTGAATATATGATAAAATTGTAAAACTCTTCTGAACGAAGTCTACTTGCTAAGCATGGCTTGAAAAAATATAATTTTAAACATTGTGGAAGCATATAATGAAATAAGATCTTACTACCTAAACGCTTTTATTCAAATATTGTCAGTTAATTTTAGTGCCCACGCGTCACGATGCATGAAAGTATACATTAATGCCTATGTGGTGAATTGTGTTTTTAAATGCTTGCAAAAAATGCATGGAACTTTATTTCAATACCTACTAGTTAATTTACATGCTAAAACACTTTCAAATAACTGCATGGAAGTTTATTTTAATGCCTACCGTACGAAAGCATGCAACAATATGCATTTACTTTAATGCCTACAATGTATATAAACTTCTCCCTAAAAAAGCATACTGAAATTGCGGTTTTAAACCTACAAAGTTATTAAATAATTGAGACAGTTAAAAATATGTTTTAATTATATATTTTTAAAACTTATTTTCAGTATTTCATTTCAAATCATCAATATTTTTATAAATCTAATAATAATTAACAGTACTAATATACATGTTAAAATTCATGCAAATAAATGCTTAAAGTTTATTTTAATGCCTCATGTTAAGTTTTATAAGTTAAAATTCGTGCAAATATATGCTTAAAAGTTTATTTTAATGCCTTATGTTAAGTTTTATATGTTAAAATTTGTGCAAATAAATGCATGGAAGTTTATTTTAATGTCAACTGCACATAAACATGCAAGCATGTGAGTGTCTACAATGTAAAAACTCTCTTTAAAAGCATACAAAAATTACGATTTTAACGCTACAAAGTTATTAAATAATTGGTGACTGTTAAAAAGATGTTTTATTTAACTATATTTACAAATTATTTTCAGTATTTCACTTTAAATCATAAATAATTTTATAACTCTAATAATTAATAGTTTTAACATCAATTCACTTTTAGACATATTTACGCTTTAACCTACTCTCACTTCCAGTTATTAACTCCAATTTCGTTTGCACTGAGGCACTGATGTAAAGTTTTGCCGCAAACTGTATTTAAAAAAACAAAATTAATGTAAAATAAAACGAAAAAATGTAATCACCTAAATTTTACTTTCGAGGTCCAAAAACAGTTTTTTCAGTCCGGAAACTAAAAACGTGCATGAAATTTGATCCGCTTTTAAATAAACATATATAAAAGAGTACCCTTAAAGCGCATAATTTTCTTATTATTGACCTGTCCCATCCAACCCTTTGTCTCAACCATCCCCACTCTCCCTTATGTATGTATGTATGTATGTATGTATGTATATATGTATGTATGTATGTATGTATGTATGTATGTATGTATGTATGTATGTATGTATGCATGTATGTATGTATGGATGTGTGTGTGTGTTTATGTATGTATGCATGTATGTATGAATGGATGTGTGTGTGTGTTTATGTATGGATGTATGTATGCATGCATGCATGTATGTATGTATGTATGTTAAAACCAAAACATGATGAGTGACACTGAACCGTCAAACATCAAGTAACAAATGGATTAACACTTTGATTTGTCGTTAATTGCACATGTCGGCATTCAGTTGGATATTTTCAAGCACACAGACACGCAGGAACTGCTGCAACAAGCACGAAATGTGGTTAGTTGCGAAAAACAGTTCCATGCTGTCGCCTGATCTGACGCTGATCATTTTACATATTGCCTTAAGAAATTTAAGGGTGTTGGGGTCCATCGGGCCGAGAACCTCGATACATATTGGCAAGAATTCCATCGAGGGGAGGGCGTTCCCGTATTTTTTCATTTTCTCGTCCGCTGCCCTGGCCGCGGCCAAACCGCATTCTTTACTTGTCAGGTTTACATATCGTTCGGCAAGGGTGCCAGGGACCGTAACATCCCACGCCAAACATCTACCGGCTCTCCAAGGTATTAGAGTGCATCAGTCCGGACGCCTACCATCATGCGCAGAAATGCCTGATGGTTCCTTGAGAACCGGGATTGAAGCCTTGGAGAAGAGCCGACAAATGTAGTCGTTTAATGCTGAGTGACGTAGTTGACGGCCCCCACCCAGGCGACAAACCAAACCGTGGTGCCCAAACTCGTCCGCCCCAGCGCCACATCGGCACGTGTATTTATTTTGAATGACCAGGCCAAGTCTGAAGCCAATGGCAAATCTCACAGACTCGTCGTCAAGCCTGGTGCCCACAGAGGTGTTGGGCCACGATCTCAACCACCCACAGCTGGCAACGCTGGACATGGCCAACAAACGAGCGGTGAAAAGTCGC